TTTTTTCTGCTTGAGTTAATGAAGTCAAGTTTATGTGCCAAATTTACCTCAAAAGATAGTTCAGAAGGCAAGTTACAACAAGCTACAGGATTTCTAAACAACAATTCTAGAAAAAGATGCCTCACTAGAGAAATGTTATATTGAACCAAAAATCTTTTACCTAAGCAGTTATATCTTGAAGCAACAGGTTTGGTAGCTACAACCAATGAAAGCAATAAAACTATATCTGTGTATATCTATATATGTGTATATATATGTGTGTGTGTGTGTATGGTCACCCTCCGTATACGTCTGAGAGAAAAAGAGAGATTGCATTTTTTCTAAACTTATGCTGTGATACATGACTGCATGTGTGCACAATGATTAAGACTAATTATCTGGAGAGAGTTAAGGAAACAAATGAATCTGAAATACATTCAAATTAATCTGAAATTAATTCTATTGAAGTTTTGGACACACAAAGATGACATTTTAGGGAGTGTGTTATTTCTCAAGGAACACGGCAACTGAATTGGATCCATGGCATATCTAATTTTCCAACAGTGCCAGAACCTGACCATGAGAAACGTCTAATGTTGTAGCCTGTCCGCTGGGAAAACTTAAGACTGTTTGTCTGTGACTTGTAATCTGAGGCAAGGTGGATGGATTAGACTAAAATTAGATTTTATAGATGAAATAGTTATCTGTTCTAATAACAGTTATTTTCTTCTTTTATTTTAGGCTGTAAGTAGCCTAATATGGGTCTCATTTCACCTAACAATAGCAAACTGAAAATTCAGTTTTTATGCTACTTGTCTAAATAACAAAAAATAGATACCCCAGAGAACAATCCATGTTTCAGAGGCATACAAAAGATTTAAGATTCCCCTTGAAATTCACTCTAAATAGAGATAATTTAATGTAAATGGTAAAATAACCGGTTTATTGGGGGGGGGGAAAAAAACATACCTACCACACGGGCACGCACATGAAGATTTCTACACGCTTCTCACCTCTGGCATATTTCAGTTAAGCATATTAACTGAAAACCCTGACCTCTGAATTCTGTAAAAATGCTGCAGGGTCATTTGTAGGGTCCTGCTCTGCTGAGCTGGAGTTCTGCTAAACCCTAAACCCTAAGCAGCTCCCCGTTCTTTGGAACCGGGCATTAGAGCATGGCTACAGCACAGCCCAGGGAGGGTGCACAACTATTTAGCTCAAGCACTGAAAGCAAAGAAGCTCTGATGACATGGGATTTTGTTGCAGCTGAAGCCCATGCTGCTTGTGCTTTACTGAAACTATTTGGTAACTAAGCTAGCTCACTTATGTCTATATGAACTGTATTTCATCTCTGGAACGAAGAAGCAGATATATCATTACTTTATCTTGTGAATGCTATAATTGGTTAAAGGTCTGATTTTTTTGGAGAATGAATGTCCTCCAAAGCCTTGAGAAAATGAAGAATGTATACTACCATCTTAAAACAGTCTCAGTAGAAGGTTACCATTTATAAAAAACAGGAATTCACTTTAGAGTACACTTGATCATATCTAAATCCATCCTCATTCAGATATGGATAAAGCATTTATTTGAGCTCAATTCTACTTCAAGAGAAGTACAAAGCAACTGGAGAGAATCCAAAAGAGAGCAACAAGAATGATCATAGGTCTAAAAATATAAAATAATTACATAATAAAAGTAATATAATAAAATAAAAGTTATTCTCAATATCCATGTCTCTACCTTACCTTAATAGAAAGATTTTGTGGGGATTTAATTATGTGCTCTTTTGTTTTCTGGAGTAAAGTGATACTTTCCCAACTAAGGTCTTGGCTAAACCAAAAATGGACATTCAGTTTCAAATGTCTTTATAGATCTTTCATCTTTCAATTAAAGATGACTCTTTCCATTTTTAGAGGAAGGGATGGCATGTGCCGTTATATTAAGATGACACAGATTTACTTGAAAGTCTATCTTATAGTTTTAGAGCATCTTCTAAACATTCTATAGTTGTGGTGAAATGCTGAAATATTATAAATTAGAACCTTTGGTACTATGGATTTTTTTCAGATATGTTTCTAACAGCACTCAAGCTAGAGTGCTTTGGAAGAGTATTCTGTGAATTCAGCATGTTTTACTTGTGGTGCGATTAGATGAAGTATACACAGTAGAAATGAAGCCTCCGGGGTTTAGTAACTAAATGTAAGTTTGGCTTAAGACACTGATAATTATAAAAGCCTAAAATACAGCAAGGTACGTGAGGGGAGAACAGGCAGGAGAGGAACTTCTGGGCCAGAGCTTCAGCTGCATTCACTAGAGCCATTAACTTGACTCTTAGAGCTCAGAAAACAATCAAACTTGCTCTGTTTCCCTGTTTAGATCCTTAAATCCTTACGTCACTCTTTAAAAGCTAAAATTTTAAAAGAAATATACCTGGCCACTTTATTTTGTAGTACCTTACAAGATGTATTTTCTGTGGACAAACAGCATTATTAGGAAAATTAGAAACTAAAAGAATTCCTAGGTGCCAAAAGGGCTACCAGAAAAAAAAAAAAAAGCCCAAGTCTCCATATTTTCAGATGGCCTTATAGCCATCAGAGCACAGCACAAAAATTAGCTCAGTTTTAAGATCTGAACATGTTTCATTTCATATAGAGGCTTTCTTGCTCCAGTTTTAGCTACTGGAAAAGCTTATACCTACCTCCACTGTAAATAACTACCACACAAGCTAGAGACCAATCCCCTGCAATTTTAACTGAAACTAAAGAGCTATAAACACCAATGCATTTTACTCCAAATTTAACTGAGTATGAAATCCACAGGTATGAATAACAGCTATGTCTGTCTGTGTCCAGGATATATTCATGTATCTGCTGCAATAGAGCTACAAGCGATTAATAGCAGAAGCATCACCTGCGATGGACAAGGACAAAACTAACCTGGAATTATCTACAGTGGTAACTCTGCTAAATAAAGAGGATTCATTGTCCACTCATTGTTTGTGAATGTACAAACAATAAGACCTCTCTGCCCGAAGAAAATGTTGCCTTGATAATGAGAATGCTGAAGGGTAGATAACTAGATATACTCATCTGCAGCTGACAGTCAAGGTTAGGTACCCCTAAGCTTGGATTTTATCTTCTCTCTTACAGAAGTAGACTGTGCTTATCCACCTCGAAAATTAATTTAATTTTCCCATAAAAACCTATTTTTTTAATGTCAGAAATGTTTTTATAACAACAATTAAAGATCTTGCATAAGAAACTCATTGGTATTTTTGCTAATTGCAGACAACTTCTTTCTTATCGCAGAACAATGTTACTGACTTCAAAGGAATTACTTTAAACTGTTTATTTCCATCTTTTATGTAAATGTAAGTAAGCTCTATGCTTTAATTGCAAAGGAAAATTATGAAATTATGAAATACCTCATTTGAAAAATGTATTTAAGCTAAAATTGTCTCCATGAAAAAGTATATTCTTATTCTAATTAATATAGGGCTTGCTTGAACAATTTTAATTGTCATTTCCTTGACAGCTGTCACTCATAAAAACTTAGAAGAGAAAAGCTTAGCTTTTAAAGAGTCTGCCAGCAGGTAGAGCTGATCTAGAATCTCAATCCTGCAAAAAAATCTACCAAAATTTAAGACCAAGCACTAAGAAATATTTTTATAGTTGGAGATAGGCCAATGTGCACTGCTGTGTCAGTCGAGACGCTCTTAAAACTGGCCAGAACTCACGTGTTTGGCAGCTATGAGCATTAGCCACAGAGGTCAGACAAAGTGGGACAAATTCCTTTCTATTACCGTTTAAGAATCAAAACAATTACAGTTTTACTCAGATGGGCTATTATGACTGCAGGAATGGAAAGACAGCTCTGCAGAATCCCTTCAGGCATTAATACTTAGCATCACCAATTAGGAAAAAAAAATCAGCAAACAGAAACCTGTCAGAGAATATGAACTGAACAGGAAAGAACTAAAGCAACACATTTTTAAGAAGATTGATCAGCTTTGCAGGAAAAGGCAGGTAGGAGATGGGAAAACAAGAAGATTTTAAAAAATAAAGCAAAAATAATAATTTGAAAATTAATCATGGTAATTTCTGGAATGGTGTCTGGGTTTATAGTCATGAATATTCAAAGTCACTGAGAAGCATTATCTTGTGACTATCAGTTGGGATTTCCCTGGGTTATAGTCAAATTCTATTTCCTGGATCAAAACTGAGCAGCAAGAAGATACACAGCTAATAAATCACTTCCCAAACTATGATGAAAAAAATCCATACTTTCTGGAAATTTATTTTTAAATTCAAGACAGAAATCAGCCTTTCTGTGTGGCAGCACTTTTTATTTACACTTCTTTCATATTTCTGCATATACTTACTCGATGTGACTCAATTGGCATCAGTAGGTTTCCCTGAAACTGCAGTAGCAGAAGATGCAGACAAGAATAAATTAAAGCAATTTTTACTGTGATAAGCCCAACCTAACCTTTTTCTAGTAAATTATCTTCTCTATAGTTGGAGTTCCTTTCATATCTAATCATTTGTTCACACCTGCACCAATAGGAGTGAAAAGACTATATTTACAGTACCAGCTTAAACCTTTGCTGTATCTTTCACTTTTGTTCGTAACACCAAACTGTACAATAAGGCAAGGAACTGTAAATGTAATTTGCTTAAGATACTATGTAGAACAGGTGGAGATTAGAGAATTAAATAGCTATTTCACAGTGTTACTTTTAAACAAGTTCTTTAGTTGTCTTCTGTGGCTGTTTGCACAAAATCATCACCTTTTGTTACAAGGTTTAAAGTCGGAGTTCAGTGAATCTGTTTTTATTTCTGTAAACAGGAATGTGCTGGTTATTGGTCTCGTGGAGCCGATCTTTAACCCTCAAGGTATATTAAGGATTTCCTGACATTCTTTTTTTATGACAAATTACTGTTGTGACAATGGCAACTGCTTTACCTATTTAAAGTCAGGAAAAGATGGTATTTTGAAAGAGACAATTAAGTTAGTACCTTTGAGTTTCACAGCTCCTTTCTCCACTTCAAGTCAGTCCAAGTTCTGCTTTAGCTGCTGGTATTCACCCTGCCCATAAAACTGTGCCAGGTCTGAGAGCTCAGTCTGCCTCCTTGCTTTCTGACACTAGGACTGGCCGTAAGGGGCCAGAGGCGCGGACCTTCTTGGCAGTCAAGTCCACTCTTGCTGCTAGTACGCCTGACGCTTGAAGACACAGAAAACCACGTTTGTACTTTTTAACGCTAAATCAGATCTCAGCCCCCCAAACACTGGGAATAAAACATTTTTACTGTCTCTCCCATGGATTGCTCTAAGTATGGACAGTCAGTCCCTGGGACTGAAGAAGGTTTAGCATGTATGTCTTAGTAAAGCAGGCAGCTCCAGAATCTTTATTGTTCTCGCGTTACAAATAGTATTTAATAGTAATATTCTATTACTAGTAAATATTTTTAATTTTTTTGATTGGAGTGTATGACTCTTTACTGGAAAAGATCAAAATGAAACCACTGCCAGGAAATGCCCTCTCCCATGCTCCCATAAGCACATTCATGTGCTTATTTGGGCTTGAAGGAAAATGTGATATTTGGAACTTTTACGCTCCATGGTGCTGCATTTCTTCTAGTGTTTCAGTCATGACTATGGGCTCTGGCAGTTCAGTTAGCCATCGTCCTCCACAGTGTTGCTGTACAGCCTCATTAACCAGGAGTGAATAAAGGCAGGCAAAGAACTCTACGTACAGATTTCAAAAATACTCAGTAATTGTTTAAAACCAATTTCATGATTTTTAGTAACAACTGAGACTAATTTACAAATGAGATTCCAATGCGTCAGAGAGAGAACATTCCTTCAGCAGAAGAGCTTACACAGCTAGTAAGACACTTGTAAAACAGAATACCGTCATTTCTATGTGCTTTCTCCTTAAATTTAAGATTATTTTTATTCAGTCTTTCCAGTAGCAGCCCTTATCTGTCCTTCTTGTTATTTATTTTCTATTCCATTTACATAAATGAACAAATTTCTGCTACATGTGGAAAAATGAAGTGCAAATCAATATCTGACATTTACTGATTTCATTTTATAACTTGATGTTGTCCATTAGTGTAACCAATTACTGTTGCGGAAAGTATCAGACATTGAACAATGCAAGATTGAAAAATAACAGTCATTTCGTAAGTTATCAGAGTAACACACATTCAGGTACTACTTTCCAGGCCTGAAGTCAAAGGACTGGGATGACATAACAGGAGTATACTGAAATATATGAATTAAAATGCAAAATAAAAAAATACCATTGAGCACTGATTAAAAATTACAAAAACATTACCATGAAATTTTCTTGTAATATAATATTGTCATCTTCCTTATGAAAATATAATCCTTAGAAAAAAGATTCATGACTCTTTTGATGAAGAATCATTATAGATGAAGGTATCAAGAGAAGGGTCTCTTTGCAGTAAATGCCATATCTTGAGGAATTCTAAACATTTCTTGAATTAAAAATTTTGAGAAGACAAATCATGCTCGAAAAGGTTTTTTAATTTAAATGTCACTATCTTTTAGAGCAGCCTACTTTGAAATGAGACTTTCACATATAATGTAAAGACATAATTGCCTAAATTTACATTTACTTGAAGTGACATTTTAGAGAATTGTAGCTAGATAAGTAGCTATGCAATACATGAGCAAGATTTTTTTTTTCTTATTAAAATATTAAACAAAAATACATATAACTACTAAATTGTTACCTGGATTGTTTTCTGTGTTACATTTTCATCAGTAATTTGCCATTGAGGACGACGATACAAAAAGAACTAAAATTAATAGGCCTATATTTGAATAATTCCTAAGAGATATCAGCAGAAGAGTTGGCAAAATGCTTATCAGAACTTGAAAAAATAATTCAAATTGGAAAAAAATAAATGCACATGTTTAAATGCCGCTTTTACAATATATACTGATTTAGGTCAGGATGTCCTTTGCATATTTAACATTCCTGGCACACCAGCTCCATCTAGTGAAAAATTCCTAGCACATCAGGCCTCAGGTCTGAGGCCAAATAAAGTACTTGTTGCATTTAACAGATCCATGTAGCGGGGCGGGGGGGGAGCTCTTTATCCTTTAAAATTGTGTTTTTGCCGTTTATCATGGTGTTTATATATTATCCATAACCTTTGCAGATAGAAGTCATGAATGGAAAATAGAATTACAAGGAAGGTATGTAAGAAATAGGATGTAGATGATGATCTTGATGCTACATGATCACTGAAGTCATTCCAGCGTGCATGCCATCCCTGATTCCTTTTGACTGCAGTAAAATGCTCTCTAATCCCTACTGTTCATCTAGTTTTTCTATCTTATTCTTTCCATTTTTCATGAGGATTTTTTATGACCTATCCATTCTCTCTCCCCTTTTTAAATGCTATTCAAGCTACCCTCACAATTTTCGGTAACAGCCCATCCCTGTGTACACCTTACAGCCTCTTCCTCATATTCATTTTCCCTAATTGTGCTTCTCATTTTCAGCCATATGCATCCACATCATCTTTATGTAGTAAGCAGTGGGAAGGCCTGCAGAGCTAAAAATATTAGAAAGCTGTGCCCTCCAGAAAGACAGCTCTTTTTCTGCTAGATCATCCCCTTTCCAGTCAGGTCAGTAAGTGGAAACAATAGCTCCAGGGCTGGCTGATTTTTAAACACTTTTTTGTGTTGTTTGTTGTACATTAAACAACATTGAAAATTAAAAATAATCTTTTGGGACACTGTCAAGTTTCTCCCATTAATGGAAGTCATTTCTGGATGTCACATGTACTTGTTAGGCTGAAGAGATTCATCTTGTGCACATTCTTACGTTTAGGTCATGCAGCGTACTTTTGTACATAATGATTGTAGAACGTAAAATTAATATACAATGCTGTGAGAATCTGCGCAGATCTTGAAGAAACAACCTAGGTTTCATGAGGGGAAGAATAGGAGGTCTCTTTTCAGTGTCTGGAAAAAGAAATATAGCTGCTGCTTCCCATTTGAAAATTATTTAATAAGGACCCAGTTTAGTTAGGAACATGTTACTTATCCAGTAGATTAGAAGCCAAGTATTAAATGACAGAACAATATGAAGACAGTAGAAAGCAAGTAAGAGAATTTTATTCTCTTTCATTCTGAATCTGAATGTTTGATGTATTTTATAATTGCTGCTTTCTCTCAAACCGTAATCAGATCTCATCCATCTTACAGTATGACTTTTTACCCTGTTTTCTGGAATCCTCTGGAAAGAAAAAGAATCTAGATAAATGGTGGTGACAGTTAGTAAAAATAACAACAAAACACAACAAATCATAGTAATAGTAAGAATATTTTTCTGCATTTAGTGAAATGCTGTACATCAATATTTAAATCTAAAAGAGCTCAGAAATGCCAAAGACACTGTTACTGAAAGTAATTATCCACATGTTCAATTTTAAACCTGAATTTTGACAATACCTACTATTTTACCTGAAAAGAGATTTTTTTTGATAAAATGCATAAATGCATTTAAATGATATCCAAAATTTTGCAGGCTTTTGCAACTTTACCATTTAAGGAATTACCAATTCAAAGTACAGTAAAATCCTTTTTTTCCAATTCCAGTTTTGTCTTCTAATGAGTTTTGCAATTATCTGCCATAAAAAGACAGCCAGCAGATTTCTGATATGATGCACAGAATACTACTACTACCCTCATGTTATGTTGATTGCTTTGGAGTGCTTAACTGCTATATTTATACAGGAAGAAATAAGGATCATTCTGCAATCTATAGTCAGTTTAATGTTACGTTAACAAAATGCTATGCTTTTCATTCATGTACGTCTTCTGAGTGGTTTTTGAAGAGGACAAAGTTGACAATCAAAAAGAAATAGTAACGGCTAATCAGTCTAAGAGCAAAAGAAGCTACTGCTGTGCAGATGAGGAATAGTAAACCACTCCTGTTACAGTCCTCAGAGCCGGGGGATTGGTACAGCGCAGAACTGAAACCGTGGGGAAGTAATGAACCATTTCTATTTCATACTGAGCTGTATGTGCATTTTTTTTTTAAGTTTTATCGTCTTTGTTTTGTTTTCAGGATATATCAATGATTAGACCTTGAGGACAGCCTGAAGAATTCTGAAAACACTACCTGCTGACTATCAGTTTTATGACAGTGAATAACTGGTCCATGAAGAAGAGAAAAACGGTGCTCGTATGCATAGAAACTTATTATGAAAAGGAATAAAAATTAAGATTAATATAGAAAAGACCTGACACTGTGCAAAAAAAAGGCATAAGGGCCTTAAAGATAGGACCAGATTTCTTGCACTCCTCACTAGAATCAGCCAGAACTTCAGTTCTTAGCAGAAGGCTGTTGAGTTCATGTGAGAGTCAGCCCCAAAGTACAAATTATTCCACACCAAAGCAGCCCAATTTTGTAAGCTAGTATGTAGGTTTTGTAAAATTCCAGCTTTACTTCTGAAAGCATTCCAGAGCTCTGATGATTCTTGCAAATCTCCATTTTTTAGGTTTATATCTACTGATAATGATTTTTTTCCTGGCTTCTCTCCACAGACTTACCCCTGATGAAATCCTTCTTATTGCACTGGCCTGTAACTCCTTGAACAAAGACCAGAAAACCAAGAGGGCTGCTGACCCACAAAGCTGCTGGATTTTTCTCTGAATACATAGGAGGGGAGGGAGAAAGAAGCTCTTTGATATTTTATATCATCAGTGAGTGATCTTTGGGAACCCAATATCAAAGTAACACTTCTAATAAGGACTAGGATGAAAAGACACATTTGTGTAAACTTAATCAAAAGCTAATTGAGTGATAGGAAAATTAGGGGGCATACTTGAGGACTTACCTCAGCAAAGACAGTGTAAATTGGCTATTTTTTTTTTTTTAGCATGGGATGTGTCAGCTATGTGCCAAATTTTTGTTGGAAGAAGAACACTGCCTGCTGCATAGAAGGGCTTAGCTATCAGTAAGTTCTATGTGAAAATGCATCTTTATCATGCTTAAAAACAGCGAGAAAGTCTGGCAGCTGAATTGTGACTGTATAGGTACTGACTATAACTGAGGTCACTTTTCATATCTTTTACGCATTCACGGATATAACTTCATTTAGGGTATTTCTTCATAGTTGAGTGCAGTTCAGCAAAGCTTAGAAACAGGGAACA